GTGGGCTTTGTTGCTTCTGAGCTAGATGGCCGCTTGTTCACCTTCAAGCTTTTAAGACCCCAGACGCTCTATCTTTTGATAGCCGGGCACCATCAGCTTTCTTCACTATTTCTCTTCTTAAAGCTAACTCAGGCAGTAAAATAGAAATTTATGCTTATGCCACCTTTTTCTGGTAAAATTACATATAATGAAACATTTGCCATTTCAACCATTTCCCCCCATACAATTCAGTGATATTAATAGTGTTCATTATCTTGTGCAGCCATTTTCCAATTTTTTCCTCACCCTTACAGGGTTCTCAATGTCCCCTAAGCAATGACTCTTCCTCCTACCTCCACCCCTGATAACCATTAATGAACTTTGGTCTTTATACATTTGCTTATTCTAAATATTTCAGATGAGGGGGATTATACAGTATTTGTTCTTTTTGTGACTGGCTTATTTCACTGAGCATAATATGTTCAAGATTAATCCACGTTGCAGCATAGTGATGCAGTGAGAGATTTAAGATGACCTGTCTAGCCATTCAAGGACTTTTGATTCCCAAAGAATGAGTGCGTGGGACTATGCAAATGAGGTGTATGTTGCCCACCCCAGGGGTTGAACAGCTTGCTAACAATGCAATTAAGGTGCAGGAAACCTTGTAGGGGTAAGACCTAGAAAATAAATTGTATGGAACGTTAACAAAGGGATTGGTCAACTTGGGCATCCCACTAGTCTTAAAATGAGTCACCTCCGACAGGAAGGGGGAAACCACACTGCCATCAAGAAAGGAAAAAGAGGAGTGGACCAGGGGTGCCGGTGCTGATGACCTTTAACCCATGGGGCAGAGAAACCTATAATACCAGAGGCAAAAAATTCACCAAAAGCACCGCTATAGAGTCAATGCCTACCCTAGTCAGAACATCCTAACAGCACAGGGTAGAATTAACCCTTGTGAGTTTCTAAGATTGTAACTCTTGACCAGAGTAGAGGGCCCTTTCCCCCAAAGAACGCCCCAATGGCGGTTTCAAACCTTACAGTTAGCAGCCCAGTGCATAACCACATCACCAGGAAAGGAAGCAAATAGAGAAACAGTGGCAGCAGAGCCAGAAGACGAACCAGAGATGGCCCACCAAGCATACTAGCCCATGGAAAACGACAGCTACCATGGGTATGCTGCACCACAAAACCGGAGAGCTTTGTGCCTTCTGATTAGAGACTTGCTATTGGAATGGGATACCTCCAGACACTTGGTGGAGCTGAAGAGCTGTATAATACCTGTCCAAGGACAGAGCCCCATCCACGCGACCAAGATCCCAGAGAGTGAGAGGGCTGCCTTCAGGCACAGCTGAAAAGCTATCCTGATGGAACAACTGAATCAATCATTCCTGATTTGTAACATATTCCTTAATGAACCTCATTACTATGAATATTTGTGAGTTCTATGTGGCCATTGCAATAATCAAACCCATAGAGAAGTAGGGAGTGCTATTTGAGAGATGGCTGATGTCGGGATTGGGAAAACAGAGGGTGGTGATCTTTTTTTTTTTTTTTAATTCAATTGAGGTTTTCATTTCAGATTATATATTTTTTAATTCAATAATTTAAACATGTCAAACCTCTCAATAGCTTTCCTTATCCTCGCCCCGCTTTTCACCTCTCTTTTTTTTTCTCTCTTCTCCTTCTTGTAGAATATTATCTCACCTTTACTGAATCTCTTACCTTTCTATACTCTTGATTCTCATTCCCTCCCTTTTCTCAAATTAAACAAAGCTTGATATAGCCCCAACATTTTCACAGACATGTGTCAAGATTTTATTTCTCTTTACAATTGAGTGATATTTCATTGTATGTACTAAAAAACCCATGTTGCTATGATGCTGGAAGCTATGATGCTGGAAGCTATGTCACCAGCATCCCATCTACCATCAGGGTAACCCTTGGTAAACAAGTTTCAGCAGAACTTGCAGACTCAGAGCAGACTATGAAAAAGGAATAGGCTG